ACTTTCTGTAGTGGACAACATCAACAGAAGGCCCTTGTGTTTTTTGTGTTTTAAAAAACCTAAAGGAAGGGCACTTTGAGGGGTGGAGGTTAAGGTAGTAGCCAGCCATCTCTTTTCAAAGAGATCTTTTCCTTTTGGGAAGCTAGCTGCTGACCAGAGCACCATAGTTCGCCCATTATTGCAGTGAACTTTAATATGTGCCATTGTTTGTTGGAAGTTAGACTGCCTTATGGCAGCTGAGGTTAGTATCCCTTGCCCAGGAGTCCAGCCCCCACTTCCTGTCTCTCTGCCAGTTCAGCTGTAGTACTGTGACTCTAGTCCGTGTTGCTTAGTCCTACCATGGCAGAGCATCTCAGTTCCACACATGGATTCTCCTGTGGTCCTTTCCAGCATGAGGGTGAGGGAGGTCCTGCTGTGGGATCCCAGCAGCCACAAGGCTACAAGAGACCCCAAAATGTCTCCAGAATTTTGTACGTGGTTTCTTGAAAAACAGGGACACGGGGAATAAGTTGTTCTAGTCAAGGGGTAGAGCCAGCTGATTTATTTATACAAAATCTATACAACTCAGCTGCATGCTACGTTCAAAATGTTCGAATGACTTCTCGCCGGAGGTAGTTCTAAAAACTTTAAAGGACCTCCGATATTAGTACAGGCGCCACATTCAAAGAGCTTTTGTATTCCATGACCTGTGATCTTTTGAATGTTTAAATACTCTAGGTTCGAAACACTCGCTTGGAACTTTCCTTGCGTTCCTAAAGGCAGGGAGGGGCACCGCAAGAGGAAGGGGACGGAATTACCGCGAAACAAACTACACAGATGAGTGATTGGAGGAAAAACAGGCCACGGGTTTATTGGTTATGGCAGATGGAGCATTTGGCGTGGTATAGGGCACGGATCCAAGCATCGGGTGACCTGCCTGTTGGCCAATGAACCCAGCCCACCTGCCGGGGCAACCAGAAGTGGCAAGCAGGTAGTCCCACAAAGGCATAAGTCTGTGCATGGAACCCTTGTGACCCGAGAGTGGAGCCAGGAGAGTGAACCCCCGAGCTGAGCATGCCGCTAAATGGCTCAACCCCCAAGACCCCTTAAAGGAGGTCCCCAAGTGGGCTCAGCCTCTCCAAATCGATCTGTCCCAATGGCTAAAATTGCCATAAAGCTATGACAATGAACAGTAAATAGCAAAAATTAAGCAACAAGAAACTACAACATAAAGGGAGGGATGGATGACCGAAGCAGGCTGAGAATTGGCACCATTGGCTGGGCTTTAAATAGGGAGGGTACAGGGCCGGGCTGAAGCTGACACTCACCTGGTCCTTCCCCCATCGCCACCCAAGGGAAAAAGCCAGCGATTGGTTGGCCGCCCCACTTATCGCCCACTCCACCTTGGAGGCCACCAGAAATGGCCACAGCCCAGCCAGACCATGCCATGGCAGAGCATGAGGTCCTCTTCCTCCTGGGGCCTGAGCCCTGCGGCCGCAAAGCACCCACCGGTAAGTCGGTGGCTGCAAAATTACATCTTTAATGTATAGCTGAGGATGATACTTTCTAATTAGAAATCTTCCAAAGCAAAAACAAAAATGAGATGCGGGAAGAGAGTGGTTGCAAGCAAAGCTAGGAGCAAGCAGCATGGAAGTAATTATTAGTCTGGCTGTGACCTTTAACCAGCTTTTGCCCAAAACCCCAAGAAAGAGGATGTCTCTGCTGGGGCCAGCACTGATGAGCTGTGTGACCCAGAGGTGACAGCCATGGCAGGCCCTTGAATTAAGCCCCTAAAAGGAAGAAAATAAATCTCAGCATTAGAGATAAATATCCTGGTGGTTGCTTCAGTCCTCTGTAGTGTCAGCTGCCGCTATGAAGGTTCAAGCCCCCCCCCCCCCTTGCAGAATGGTAAATTGCACAGCTTCATTGGTTTTCATTGACTCAAATACATTTGGGTCTCTAGCTTGTTAAATCCTATGAGAGGCTGGGCCGGACCAAGAGGTTGCAAGACATGAATACTGGTGCCACCAGTGCCGTGAGTCCGTGTACTGACTAAGGTGCATGCTGGAGCATTAGTGTAACTAGATGCCACCATCATTGCATTCTTCCATTTCCCTTGTTCAGCACAGCTGTGCTGTGCAGTATGAACCCCTCCAGCTTGTGAGCGAACGATCACTCTCGAGCTGGGAATGACACTAGTAAAAGGGGGCGTGTGGTAAAAGACGGAGAGCAGGATGTGTACTAATAGACAAATGAAATCCTGATGTGGACCTGAAAACGCATTTCCTTTAAGTGGAGAGGCCAGAGCTTTTCTGGAATTCTTCTATGAGCAAAGCAGGTGCTCTGTCGCAGGGTGGTGATCAGTTCTGTATACCTGTTACCAGTCAGCAGTTTCCTGAGCAGATGCAAAAGAATCCATTAAACTAATTCCATATGTTCATATAGGCAAATAATAAATAGCCGTAGCTAGCGCAAGACCCTAAGGATCACAATCTAGTAGTCTCTGTAAGATTGGCCATCAGCTGGAACCGTACACTGACGTTTCCATAAACATGCAGTTTCTTGAGTGTCGTGCATGCAACCATCATTGTGGTGCTGGTGGTAGTCCTTTTGCGTGCCATTTCATTTGTGCGATGTGCAGTGGCTGCATGTGCAGCTTCCACAAGGAGATGCTGATTTATAGACACATGAATGGAGTTTGCATATTAAGCGGAAATCTGGTGGTAATTGTAGGGTGGCTTATATGGCCCTCTAGACAGGACTGGAACACCTGCCTTTCAGTGTAGCAACTGTTAGTCTTTATACCTGGGTTCTTTTGAGCATTTTAAACCAATGCCCATTTGGAAACTGTTAATAATGAAAAGCAAATTAAACGGTTCAGAAGACTTTAAGTAACAAAGCAGATAGTCCCCAGGATCCAAGGCGAATGATTTCCAAGGGTAGATATCCTGGTGACTCTGTGTATTTGCATTTCTCAGATTGCTCCCAATCATTTTTTACAGTTAAAATAAAACTGGATATTACTCTTATTTATCAGTTGTCAATAAAGCATGTTTTTAATTGACATTTTCAACAGAGTTGTATTTTCCTCATTGGTTTGTTTCAAGTCATACCACTAGAGGGCATCAGAACATTTTCAAGGAAAAGAGCCTCTTCAGAGGTACGCAGTTTCACTATGACCTAGTGGCCCGAATGCAGAAAGCTGGGATTGTGCTGTCTCTCCACTCCCCCTGCCTCAAACCACCACATATTAATGATCATAGACAACTCCAGTGATGTGCAAGAATATGTGTATGGAGACTGTGGCCTTCACAGCATGGTCATGGGCCTTTGTTTTATTTAGATTTCTTGGATGTCCCACAGACTTGAGCGTTTTACATTGCTTTTTGTGCAGCAGCGGCCCTTTTTGCATCCATGCTGTTACGCTTGTATGTCCAGTCACATATCAAAGGCAGCCAAAGTGAAGCATTTTTAGTTCCCATCAGTTTCCATAGGAGAGACGTAAGATGATGGTTGGTTTTTTGCATTGAAATCAAGAGACTATTGCATAAATTTGGCTGGATCGTGTCCTTCAGGATTAGATTTAAGCATGTGATTGGTCCTGCAAGGATAGAACTGTTGGAGAAGCGACAGCTTGCTTAGAGTCTAGTTCAGGGGTGTCAAACATAAGGCCCGGGGGCCAGAACTGGCCCGTCCAGGGTTATTATGCAGCCCGCAAGCAGCTGGTGCAAGGGAGGGAGTACTGGAGGGAGTGGGGGGGAGCCATTCCTTTGTGGCACTGCTGCGGCAGTGGAATAATCTCATCTGCAGCAGTCAAGCATTGTGGGAGCATCTGCCCAGCAGTGCACAGCTGCCTCTCCAGTCTACCTATGTGGGTTTTCCTTTGCACACACACACATACACCCCAGTCCCGTGGGGCCTTGCAGTGAGGATACACCAACTCGGAGCTTACCAGCTGTTGTCCTTTATACAGTTTCTATCTCCAGTACCTGGCATTACGCTTTGTGGCACGCATGGCCCGGCCCGACAAAGTCAGATCCAGCCCTCATAACAAATGAGTTTGACACCTCTGTTCTAGTTACTATAAATACTGCTGAAAGAGTAGTTTAGTCCACTTGTACCCTGGGAGGAGCTGTGGTGCCTTCTCTAGTGTTTAGGGTTTATTGAAACTTTCCTCTTGCAGCTCAACTGACCTCTTGTTTTTCTTTCTCTGCTGTGTGTTAGTATGCGTTATTTCTTGTACTCCCAAGGCCTTTCTGTTGCATTAATGGCCTACAGTCAGTGATTGTCTTTTTGCAAAATCCTGTTGTAGTAAATTCATTGAAAGCAAACTCCAAAGTGTGGATTGGGTTATTTCCTGAACTCTGCCAACATGAACAACACTAATGTGGGTAAATGAGTGGACCAAATGCAATCTAGCTTTGGTATGTGAGCTAGCTTTGGTGTAGTGGTTAAGTGCGCGGACTCTAATCTGGGAGAACCGGGTTTGATTCCCCACTCCTCCACTTGCACCTGCTGGATGACCTTGGGCAAGCCATAGTTCTGGCGTAGCTGTTCTTGAAATAGAGCAGTTTCTGTCAGAGCTCTCTCCGCCCCACCGACCTCACAGGGTGTCTGTTGTGGGGAGGGGAAGGGGAAGGAGTTTGTAAGCCCCTCTGAGACTCCCTTGGGTAGTGAAGGGCGGGGTATAAATCCAGTCTCCTCTTCCTCTTCCTATTCTCTATACTAGTGATGACAATCACTGGCATCTATCCTACCTTAGGAAGTTTCTCCTCCTAAGGAACTTTCTTTCAACTTCAGTGGAGGAAGAACCACTTGTGTCGGAGAAAGACTTCAAACTTTGCTCAGTGGAATAGTAGCAAAGAGTCTGGAAATTAAAGTGTTGGACTAGGAGCCGAGAGACCCAGGTTCAAATAAGGCTCCATGGAAGCTTGCTGGGTGACCTTGGGCCA